CCACCAGGTGTAAGCAAGTGCAGGCTCAGTACGCGTCCTTTCAGCCCGCAGGGTGAGAGACGAATGGAAATTGATTATTATACTCGCATCACAACTAATCTCACTACCCAACATTGCGGGGCCATGTTTCACACCTTCCATTCTTTTCCAATTTGTCTTAACTTTTCATTCTATTATTTCTTTTTAAAATATTACACAGTACCTTTATTTTCAGTAAAATCTCCATATTTCCTGAAATTTTATACAACCCTCCCCATACCCCTCTCCATCTCACCCGCATTTCTTCACATCACTCACCATCTCCAATACACACCTCTCTGTACAAACACAAAATCACATTTCACATCCACAAATCGCATCTCATCACCCATCTCAAATCCACTAAAAATCCCCCATGTAACCAAGATATTCACAAATTTCTATAACCAACCTAACCAACACACACACACACCTAACCTAACTAATAACCTAACTTATCCTAAACCTAACTAACCTATCCTAACTAACCTAACTTACCCCCCCCCCAACCTAAACCAATCTTAAACCTGACTAACCTAACCATACCTTACCTAACCTAACTTATCCTAAACCTAACCTAACCTAACTTATCCTAACCTAACCTAACTAACCTAACCTTACCTAACCTAACCTACCTAACCTAACCTCTACTAACAACAAAAACCTAAACCTAACCCAACCGAACTTATTCCTAACCTACCTAACCTAACTAACCTAATCCTAACCTATCCTAACTAACTAACCTATCCTAACCTAACCTAACCTAACCAACCTTACCTAACCTAACCTAACCTAACCTTACGAACCCTAACCTAACCTTACCTAACCTACCTAACCTAACCTACCTAGCCTACCTAACCTAACCTACGTTTCCTAATAACCTTACCTAAACCTAACCTAACCTACCGCACTAAACTAACCTAAACTAACCTAACCTAACCTAACATAACTTAAACCTAACCTAACCAAAACCTAACCTAACCAACCTTACCTATCCTAACTGAACCTCTCCTAAAACCTAACTAACCTTACCTACCTAACTTATCCTAACCTGAACCTAACTAATCAGAAAAAAGGCACCTGCATTTTGAATCAGTATATTCTCAACATGTCACAATTTTTTTTTTGTTAGAAACCATGATTTCCGAAAGAAACAACATTTCCTCGCTTGAGAGACTCCTTGTCAGGCTTATATGCTTACCCCAAAAGTATTGCGTCATGATTTTTGTACATCCCTTCCCCTTCCAGACCAACTGTGTCCTCTTGTTCTAAAATTTGGTGAGGTCACAGGGCTGACAGACACCATGAAATTAACTTAATGAGATATAACATTTGTATTTCTATCTCATTACTTTTTTCAGGTAGGTTTGATTTCGATTTAAAATCATCATGTCTTAAAAAAACTTTTATTAAAACATTTCTCTTTTTAATGAATTAATGAAACATCTTAATCTTTTGTGGGGTTGGTAAACAACACGCTCTAAACATCATAAATCCTCCTCTCTAAGTCTTGTTCTTCCAAGTCGGTCACATCGGTACCTGTAAATTTTATTATATTTTTTTATTTCATTAGCATATAATGGGGAGAAATTTGCACCATCACCTGTAAAAGATATAACCAAACTAAAAGTTACTATTTTTTCACTATCCCAAAAAATTCTTCTCTTTTAGTTAACTTAAATATCTCCCCATTCATGACTTAAAAAGATAATCATACTGTGTCCCCTTATTAACCTTTATGACGTAAGTATTATGGTGACATGATTCTTGGTGTTCAGGTAGAGAGAGAAGGTCGAAAAGGTAAGTTATCTATATTAATTCAAATATATCTCTCTTCAAGTTATAATTACTCCTCATTAATAATTTAATGAATTAAACCACTGATACAAGGTAAAATAATTTTGCTTACCTTATAGTTACTCACACTTTGGTCAATTTTTAATATAATGTTTATATCTGTGAAAAGTTCTTCCAAAGTAATTTCCACTTCTTTGTGTTGTACCATCTATGCAAAATGCAAAGATTATACTGTCTATTAAATATTTGACTGACAAAGTTTTCAGATATATTGTTTTCCCAAAATATAATCTACCAGATCATCTCTCCACTCCGTTACCATTCATCAATGTATTTATGCGAATCAAGTTCATTTTCTAACCAATTTTTAACTCGCTGAAACTTCTTTCACTCAATGTTTTCCCATCTTTCCTTAAGAGTGCTTGACTGCTGTTGCAAAATTCCAACCAAGGAAGATCTTTCACCGTTCACAAAACTAACATTGAAAATCGCCATGTTTCCCCATATTAGAGTTTCTATGTGGGTTTCTGGAACAATGTCTGGGGGTGGACTTACACACAACTTCCCATATACATAAAGAGTTTGCCTAAATGTATTAAATGAAAATTTCATTTAAAACTTACCTAAACTAGGTTCAGCAATTTCAAAATCCATTTTATAATTATTTTTTGGGCTTGGTATAATAAAAATTTGAGATATATGACTACTCCATTCACATTCTCGTAAACAATAAATTTTCCAATATTTTTCACTCCATTCGTTGAGTCCATTTCTCGTACCTCAGCTACAACACAACTTCTTTTGAGAGAACATGTTCCGCATAACTCTATTTTTGAATGGGTTCGACTCTCTTAATTGTATACCAACATTTCTATAAACACCGAACTAGTATTGTTTTGTCGCAACCACTCATATTTTCTATCTTCTGCTAAAGTGTTCCTTACCTTTCACTCCAAATATTTATACCAAAATTTCATCGTTGTCAATCATCGAATATCATTTTTTTTAATAATACAAATACACATCACAGGGGATTCTTAAACATATATATTATCCATTGTATAATTTCAAAAATATGTTTAGTCATTGTTAAACTTTCCTTATTTTTCAGTAAAAAGAAATATTCCGACAATAATTTTTTGGCACACTTGCTTGTGACGTCACTATCCAGCAACACGTTTAAAAACAGGTTAGAGCATCTTTCCCCTTATATTTTATATGAACTAAAAGCATTGATGTCACGATACTCATTGAACAAATTATCTTACCTTTAATTGTCTTCATGCATTTCCAAGTATGCACCATCGGTATAGTAATAACATGTCTTAATACCATTGAAAGTAGTTTATGATCACCATCCTGTAAGACACTAAACTCGTGGTGGTTCATTCACCTATCGTCATGGTGATGCCACGTAGTGTTTTTCATGGAAACAAATTTTCTACACATATAGTTATAAAAACTACTAACTCCGGTCAACCCGCGTGAGTGAAGAAAGAGTATAAGAAGACACATCCGTATGAGTTACAAGAGTATTTAGATGAAGACGTGGAAGTTACATGTGGAAAATTTGTTACAGAAGCAAGTGTTACACATCATTGAACGATAAAGAAATGATTTAATTCGATAGGAAGGACCTTGTCACAACCCTCCAAAACGAAGAGAAGGTGACTGATCTATATCTCACCGATAAAGAAAGCTTAAGCAATGGAAGATTTTGAACGTGAGTTTTTAATTGAGATATTATTGAGTAAATCACCTCCAATGTAATTTTAGAAATTCTAATGAGAAATATTTTTTTTAATTTGTTGAGTAACAAACTTAATTTTTGGGATATAATACTATATTTTATAAAAATTGCAGTAAAGAAGCAACAAAAGATGAAGAAAAATTATCTTTCGTTTAATGGAGAAAAGGTAATATTACAAAGATGCAGAGCAGTGATAAAAATTCTTTTCGTACAACAAGCACAATTGTTGTGCTGTTAAATTGAAAAGGTGTCTTGCTGATGCTTAAGTCGGTTTTACCACTTAGGCAATCCATATTTATTTAGATCACTGGAGTCATAAAGGCAATCTAGCTATTGCAAGTCACTCGTGTAAATTTGGGAGCATAAAATTGGAAATATGCGAAAAAATAACCCCATGATTGTCAATATGTTCGCACAGTATGCGATGGGACCTCCACATAAGTATTATATGAACTGTAAAGTTGATAAGGCCTACTATAATACATGCAAATATTTAGATACAAAGAAAGGTCGTGAGATTATGTTCAAAGCGTGCCTGAATGATCTTTGTTAAGTGGTTATTAACAGATCCCAACGAGATTATAGTGGAAAAAGTTGTGGTGATTGGCATGCACACTTTTAGTTCATTTAAGTTAACAAGGGGAAGTTCATGATTTTGCAAAGGAATTAAAAAAAAACGAAGTAGAAAATATTGTTATTCTATTATTTGTACAATATGACAATAAATTATCTCTATTACTTTTGTTTTTGTTTTATTCACCAGCACTCTAAAACCTTATTAGGCAAAACTGAAATAGAGATCATACGTCTGGGCGGAAAACGGTGATGATTATAAACATCTCTGTTCTTTGTGCTCATGCATTCGTAACCTCTTCCACCAGGGTGTGGACTATAACCATCTCAAGAAAGGAGACAGCCACTAGGATGGAAAAATATTTTAAAATTGAAGGAAGGAAACTTTGTACGATGAAAAAATATAGTCGTGACAAACGTCTGCATTATTTTTCATGCGGAAATGTGTTGCTATAAAAGGATATGTGCAAGTTAATTTAACTTGGGTAAGAAATATCCTTATGTGATGTGTATGGAGTAAGAGAAAACCATGTATTAATCTGAGAAAGTTGCCAGAGTTGAAGATCGTGATACTCCTGGAACTGTTATGGGTTTGACTTCACGGATCAAAGAAAAATTGGAATCTTCCTTATTTAGCAGCCATAATAGCCAATGTGGTATTGCTGGACATTGGAGGAAAATACCATTTCTCAAAATTTAATTGAAAAACAGGATACATTTGGTGATGGTTAAAGAAAGATACTATCGCAGACAGAATAAGGTTATTCAAGAAAATCCATTGAAGAAGAGTCATAAAAGTGTGAAAGACATTAAAAATATCCGAGAGGTTATCTTTCTGAAAGGTATTGGGGAGGGATGAAACTTCAAATGATTATATCTGGAATACACATTATAAACCTATACTCGAAGATATGATAATGAAATTTAAGGAAGAAGGTATTCGATCAACAATGGTTGTCAAAGAAGAAATGAAAAACATTAACCAAGGTCAAGAATTAGAAGATGATTCGAAGTTATTGTCTTCTAGAATTGAAGGAAGTGCTTGGTATCCCTCATGAGGTAAGCAAAATTATTTACCTTGTATCAGTGGTTTAATTCATTTAAATTATTATGAGGAAGTAATTATAACTTGAAGAGAGATATATTTGAATTAATATATATAACTTACCTTTTCGACCTTCTCTCTCTACCTGAACACCAAGAATCATGTCTACCATAATACTTACATCATTAAAGTTAATAAGGGGACACAGTACGATTATGCTTTTTAAGTCATGAATGGGGAGATATTTAAGTTAACGAGAAGAATATGTTTGGGATAGTGAAAAAATATGTAACTTTTAGTTGGTTATATCTTTTACAGGTGATGGTGCAAATTTCTCCCCATTATATGCTAATGAAATAAAAAAATATATTAAAATTTACAGGTACCGATGTGACGGGACTTGGAAGAACAAGACTTAGAGAGGAGGATTTATGATGTTTAGAGCGTGTTGTTACACCAAGATTAATATGTTTCATTCATTCATTAAAAAGAGAAATGTTTAATAAAAGTTTTTAAGACATGATGAATTTTAAATCAATCAAACCTTACCATGAAAAAAAGTATTGAGATAGAATACAAATGTTATATCTCATTAAAGTTAATTTCATGGTGTCTGTCAGCCCTGTGACCTCACCAAATTTTAGAACAAGAGGACACAGTTGGTCTGGAAAGAGATGATTATGTGATTTTCTACCATGGATGTGAACCGCATTACATGGTGGCGTCGGAGGGGGAAGGGATGTACAAAAATCATGACGCAATACTTTTTGGGTAAGACATATAAGCCCAAGGAGTCTCTCAGAGCGAGGAATGTGTTTCTATTCGGAAATCAGTGTTTTCTAAAAAAAAAAAAAAATTGTGACATGTTGAGAATATTACTGAGTCAAAATGCGGGTGACTTTTTTCTGATTAGGTTAGGTTAGGATAAGTTAGGTTAGGTAAGGTTAGGTTAGGTTAGGATAGGTTGGGTTAGGTTAGGTAAGGTTAGGTTAGGTTAGGTTAGGTTAGGTTAAGTTAGGTTAGGTTAGGTTAGGTTAGGTTAGGTGCGGTAGGTTAGGTTAGGTTAGGTAAGGTTAGGTTAGGAACGGTTAGGTTAGGTTAGGTTAGGCTAGGTTAGGTTAGGTTAGGTTAGGTTTGGTAGGTTAGGTTTGGTTAGGTTTAGGTTAGGTTAGGTTAGTTAGGTTAGGTAAGGTTAGGTTAGGTTAGGTTAGGATAGGTTAGGTTAGGTTAGGATAGGTTAGGTTAGGTTAGGTTAGGTTAGGTTAGGTTAGGTTAGGTTAGGATAAGTTTGGTTAGGTTAGGTTAGGTTAGGTTAGGTTAGGTTAGGTTAGGTTAGGTTAGGTAAGGTTAGGTTAGGTTAGGTTAGGTTAGGATAAGTTAGGTTAGGTTAGGTTAGGATAAGTTAGGTTAGGTTAGGTAAGGTTAGGTTAGGTTAGGTTAAGATAGGTTAGGTTAGGTTTAGGTTAGGTTAGGATAGGTTAGGTTAGGTTAGGATATAAGTTAGGTTATGTTAGGTTAGGTTAGGTGTGTGTGTGTGTGTGTTAGGTGGTTTTTAGAATTTTGTGAATATCTTGGTTACATTGATTTTTAGTGGATTTGAGATGGGTGATGAGATGCATTTGTGGATGTGAAATGTGATTTTGTGTTTGTTCAGAAGAGGTGTGTTGGGAGATGGGTGAGTGGATGTGAAGAAATGCGGGTGAGATGGAGAGGGGTATGGGGAGGGTTGTATTAGAAATTTAATGAAATATGGGGAGATTTTACTGAAAATAAAGGTAATGTGTGAATATTTTAAAAAGAAATTATAGAATTGAAAAGTTAAGATAAATTGGAAAAGAATGGAAGGTGTTGAAACATCTCACAATAGTTAGGTAGTGAGATTAGTTGATGCGAGTATAATATCAATTTATGTGGATACAAGGAGATGGGTATGGAGAGGATTTTATTAGAATTTTAGTAATTGTAAAGAGGAATGTGTATTACATTTAATCAGTAAAAAGAAGGGGAAAATTGAATAAATTGGTTAATTGATGAGGGTTGTGGGTGATGTTGTCGAACTAGAGTTACCCAAAAAATTTATATAAGTGGGTT